TTAATCGTGGTAGGAGAACTGTTTTTAATCGTGGTAGGAGAACTGTTTTAATCGTAGTGAACTGTTTTAATCGTGGTAGGAGAACTGTTTTTAATCGTGGTAGGAGAACTGTTTTAATCGTGGTAGGAGAACTGTTTTTAATCGTGGTAGGGAGAACTGTTTTTAATCGTGGTAGGAGAACTGTTTTAATCGTGGTGGAGAACTGTTTTAATCGTGGAGGAGAACTGTTTTAATCGTGGTAGGAGAACTGTTTTAATCGTGGTAGGAGAACTGTTTTAATCGTGGTAGGAGAACTGTTTTTAATCGGTAGGAGAACAGTTTTAATCGTGGTAGAACTGTTTTTTAATCATGGTAGGAGAACTTAACATGGTAGAACTTTTAACGGTAGGAGAACTGTTTAATCGCGGTAGAGAACTGTTTTTAATCATGGTAGGAGAACTGTTTTTTAATCATGGTAGGAGAACTGTTTAACATGGTAGGAGAACTGTTTTTAATCATGGTAGAAACTGTTTTTAATCATGGTAGGAGAACTGTTTTTAACGTGGGTAGAGAACAGTTTGTAACATGGTAAACAGTTTTAATTATGGTAGAACAGTTTTAATCATGGTAGGAGATCGTTTAATCATGGTAGGAGAACATCTTTTAATCATGGTAGGAGAACATTTTAATCATGGTAGGAGAACAGTTTTTAATCAGTAGGAGAACAGTTTTAATCGGTAGGAGAACAGTTTTTAATCAGGTAGGAGAACAGTTTTTAATCATGGTAGGAGAACAGTTTTTAATCATGGTAGGAGAACAGTTTTTAATCATGGTAGGAGAACAGTTTTAATCATGGTAGGAGAACTGTTTTTAATCATGGTAGGAGAACAGTTTTTAATCATGGTAGGAGAACAGTTTTTAATCATGGTAGGAGAACTGTTTTAATCATGGTAGGAAACAGTTTTTTGTTATGGTAGGAGAACTGTTTTTTAATTATGGTAGGAGAACTGTTTTTTATTATGGTAGGAGAACTGTTTTTAATCATGGTAGGAGAACTGTTTTTTAATTATGGTAGGAGAACTGTTTTTTAATTATGGTAGGAGAACTGTTTTTAATCATGGTAGGAGAACTGTTTTTTAATCATGGTAGGAGAACTGTTTTTAATCATGGTAGGAGAACTGTTTTTTAATTATGGTAGGAGAACTGTTTTTTATTATGGTAGGAGAACTGTTTTTAATCATGGTAGGAGAACTGTTTTTTAATTATGGTAGGAGAACTGTTTTTAATCATGGTAGGAGAACTGTTTTTAATCATGGTAGGAGAACTGTTTTTTAATCATGGTAGGAGAACTGTTTTTTAATTATGGTAGGAGAACTGTTTTTTAATTATGGTAGGAGAACTGTTTTTTATTATGGTAGGAGAACTGTTTTTAATCGCGGTAGGAGAACTGTTTTTTAACTGCGGTAGGAGAACTGTTTTTAATCATGGTAGGAGAACTGTTTTTAATCATGGTAGGAGAACTGTTTTTTAATCATGGTAGGAGAACTGTTTTTAATCATGGTAGGAGAACAGTTTTTAATCATGGTAGGAGAACTGATTTTAATCATGGTAGGAGAACTGTTTTTAATCATGGTAGGAGAACTGTTTTTAATCATGGTAGGAGAACTGTTTTTTAATCATGGTAGGAGAACTGTTTTTAATCATGGTAGGAGAACAGTTTTTAATTATGGTAGGAGAACTGTTTTTAATCATGGTAGGAGAACTGTTTTTAATCATGGTAGGAGAACTGTTTTTAATCATGGTAGGAGAACTGTTTTTTAATCATGGTAGGAGAACTGTTTTTAATCATGGTAGGAGAACAGTTTTTAATCATGGTAGGAGAACTGTTTTTAATCATGGTAGGAGAACTGTTTTTAATCATGGTAGGAGTCACGTAAGATGCAACAGGTCGTGAGGCGTTGTGTTGGATCACTACCTCACCCCTCACTGATCTCTCCTCCTCACTAAACCTATTGAGGGAAATAATCTACACACTTTCCTCACTCACTCGTAACTTATAAGCATTCAATTTAATAGTTACCTCAATAAATGTCTTTCATAATTAAAAATAAATAAATAAATGTTAGTAAATTATTTTTGAATTAGAGAATAAAGTTTCTTCCTTTCCCGTAGAGGTAAGGTAAGGTAAGGTAAGGGAAGGGAAGGTAAGGTAAGGCAAGGCAAGGTAAGGTAAGGTAAGGTAAGGTGGAGCGCGTAACCGCCTATGTGTGTTTTATACTGGACAGTCCCGTTTACACCCAACCCCTATTGCTCATATGTCCACCCAACCTATGTTTGAAGCTATCCAGAGTGTTCGAGTTATTGATGATGTTTGGTAACTTGTTCCACTCATCCACTACTCTTTTCTAAGCCAGTGTTTACCTATCTCGCGCTTAAATCTAAATTCGTCTAATTTAAAACCATTGCTACGAGTTTGCTCCTGGTTGGATAGTTTGAGTACCTTTGTTATATCACCTTTGTTTAGCCCTGACTCCCATTTATACACATCTATCATATCGCCCCTCACTCTTCGTCTCTCGAGGGAGTGCGAATTAAGATGCTTTATCCTGCCTCTGTACTCAAGGGTCCTAATGCCCGGGATTAGTCGTGTCATCCTCCTCTGAATGCTTTCTAGGGATTCTATATCCATTCTGTAATCCAAGTGAGGTCTCACTAACGCAAGATATAGTTTTAGGATAACCTCGCTAGTCTTGTAACTAATACTCCTTTGTATGAACCCAAGTACTTTGTTAGCCTTGTTTCGAGCAAATACGCATTGTTGTCTTGGTTTAAGATTCCTACTCCTAAATCTGTCTCACAGTCTGATTTCTCTATAACAAAGTTGTTCATCTGATATCTGGTTTCTCTGTTTACATCTCCTAGGCTAAGTACTTCTACTACTTTGCTGTCACTCTGATTCGAGTATGACGATCATCCAGCTGTGATACATTGATTTGAGTTATTAAGGATGTCACCTTCGTTGGTGAGTTCTGAGGTGACTAAAGAGGCCGATACGGGACCGGCAGTATCGTTCACAGATGTTGCACATGTGAAGGGCTACATCTAGTGCGGGAGGGGCGGCGGCAGCGTCTTTCCGGCGTTTGAGCTTGTCTGCCTCGTTATGCCACCTTCTCGTGTGGTGCTCCTCCAAGCGTTACGATGTTTAGTATTCGACTCCCAGGTGAGGGGGTCGATTTGGCACTTTTTCAGGTTTGTCTTAAGACTATCCTTATACCTTTTCAGTTGCCCGCCAGCGTTACGTTTATTATTCGTTAGGTGACTGTAAAGTAGCTGCTTTGGCAGTCTACTGTCTTCCATGCGGGTAACATGGCCAGTCCAACGTAGTTGTTCATGGATAATGGTAGCCTCGCTGCTCCTACAGTTGATATCAACGAGAATACTGGCATTTGTTCTCTTGTCTTCCCACAATTTCATCTGCCATTTTTCAGACCATGCAATTTTTTTAGCTCTTTCTGTAGTTTTGCGGAGTCCTCGTCAGATTTAATTACACGCCCTCTTTTAGTGTCGTCAGTAAATTTACTTATGTTGTTATTGCTGGTGCTGCCGCCTCGAGAAACACTCCCAGAAGTAGTACTGTTTATACCGGAGTCAGTTGGTTATACTGAGCGCCATCTAGCTTGTTTACATATGGGCGCCATATTGTTTGTTTACATATGGGCGCCATCTTGTTTGTTTATATATGGGCGCCATCTTGTTTTATTCGGCCTAAAAGAATTTACTGTTTGATCAAATAAATAAACAGGATATTTTTCCCTGACTTCTGCAATAAAAAAATAAAATAAATACATAATAATAATAATAATAATTATTATTATTATTATTATTATTATTATTATTATTATTATTATTTTAATTAAACACCTGAGAGTTACCTGGGAGTTGGCTAGGATATGTTATGTTAATAATTTTGGTTAGGTTAGGTTAGGTTTTATCAAGTTAGGTTAGGTTAGCTTTAGGCCAACGTTAGGCTAGGTTGGGTTATGTAGAGTTAGCTTAGATTAAGTTATCTTAGATTAACGTCAAGTTAGGTTATGTTATGCTATGTTAGGTTAGGTTAGCTTTAGGGTGGATAGTCTTAAGGTGACATAAGTTAGGTGGGCTAATCTTCATGTGATCACTACTAACTTAACTGGTTTATAACAACTTGACCTGGAAGACTAACACGTGACCTCATTTATGACCTCAAATTACCTGTTATTTAGCATATAGTGATGCAATGACCTGATACATAATATGAGTTGTGATTTGCGTGGCGTAGTGGTGAGGGGTGTGGTGTGGTGTGGTGTGTGGTGTGGTAGGTGGTGGTAGAGCTTGATGTAGAATCACCCTGTGTTGTGTAGTGTGACGTGGCCTGACCCAATGACTCATAAATGACGTAATCTCAAAAAAAATTATATCAAAATTACGAAAAAAAATAACCTTATATATTTCTGTGATCTATTTTATGTTTATTTTATCTTATATAATAAAATCCCAAAGTACAATCGGTAATCTTTATCATCGTACGTTTATATACATTATTGTTTAACCTCAAAGTACGATAGTTTTGTTTACTCTCTCCGTACATCGTATCTAGTAATATTATCAAAGTTTTTCCACAAAGAATAAAGTTTTCATTGTGTTTGAGATGTTCCAGCGATGAGGAGATGACTGGTATTACACGGAGAGGCATGATAAAATATAAATAAACTATCCCCTCACTCGTATTCTTCTTGTGAATTATCGTACGCCAATGATAGTAAACAGCGCGCGCACCAAACGTCATCTTCCCTCTATCTTCCCGCACCTTCCTGCCAACCAATCACGTTCGTCAGAGTAGAGACAACGGTGATGTGTGTGATGGCAACCAATAGCATTTCTCGGTTTACACAATGGACCAATGAGAGACTAGTTCTTAGTTGATGTGTGTGTCGAGTTTAATAAAATGAGGTGGTATGGTGGAGAAGGGGTTAGTATGGTGCAGCCGATCACCCCGTGTACATCTCTCTCTCTCTCTCTCTCTCTCTAGCTGTCTGGTGACTCTGCTGTAGCCGTGAGTGTTATTGTTGTTGATTTTGTAGGAAGCAGGAGGGTGGGAGGAACACAATGACTAAACGTAATACTTCAGGTGTCGTTGTTTTCCATGTTATTGTAGAATTTATATATATACATACACAAAAAACAAGGAAATTTCATTCTTTTTTCTTGATTCGACTCAATATTTTGTTTGGGGTTTACCATCGGAAGTTTTTTTTTTTAATTTTAGCTCGAAATTTGGGGATAGAATCAGTGGGTCGTGTGTGTGTGTGTGTACGTGTGTGTGTATGAGGAAAGTACAGGAATGTAAACAAAATGCCAAGAGATGAATAAATGTTGAATAGGGAGATAGAAAAGGGGGAGGGGAGGGGGGGGGAGGGGGGAGAGAAGGGAAGGGTTGTGGAAGGTTGGGGAGAGGAGAGGAGGGTTGGGGTGAGGAAGGAAGGGGAGAATAATGAACACAGGAAAAATATAACTGATGTGAAAAATGTATCAGATCTTACTTTCTTGGGTGAGGTTATGTTAGGTTAGGTTGGGTTGGGTTATGTTAGGTTATGTTAGGTTTGGTTGGGTTGGGTTAGGTTAGGTTAGACTCGTGTTGGGGGATGTGGTCACTGTTCTTGTATAGTCTATCCTGGTGTAGGTTCAAGCCTTGGTCCTACACTTGTCTGCGGCTCTGACCTGAGGCGGAAGATGGTGTGTCGGCTGAAGGAAATGTTAATGTGGAAGTGAAGGATTTTAAGTGAATCTTCAGGTGGTTTATTGTAAATTAGAAGTGAGAATAATATTTTAGCGTATTTTTTTTCTTTGCAAGTAATAAGAAAACTCATTTATATTTTCAACATATCCTGAGGGGAAAATTTAGTCCGTGTAGTGCGCAAAATTGTCATGGAAATTTACCTGTGTATCGGAAGCCATTAATGAGTTTGTTTTTTGTCACCTGCGAGGATAAAACTTATTGTATTTCTGTCTCCTCACAGCGTCAATGTGATGAGGGCAAGCCCATTCAGACCCACGGGGGTAGATGAACGCGCCAGGTTCGTCTGTATGTGGGTAGACGGTTTACCTGTCCGTACGATCGCTCAAATGACAGGAACGAGTGTCACGACCGTCTACAGGTGGATTAGACGGTGGCAACAAGAGGGCAACGTGGAGAACAAAGCTCGTAGTGGAAGACCTCGACTATCGCTACGAAAAGGAGAGACCACAAATCGCCAAAGCATCAACACCACCACCACTCACTCGACCCCCTCAACTGACGACGCTCTCCCCTACTGCAGGACACCCAACACAGCAGACCTTCGACGTCACCAGGATAGAACACACTACACCCTACTATCTCCACACATCGATCCTCTAAACCAATCTAGAAACACTCAGGATTTTCGTTTCCCGCTAAGACACTCAGCAACCATGTCAGCGTTCAGGGACTGTGAGGCGGTGAATGAGGGACAGCACCAAAACACCTGGAGCTCGGCGATGTTGTGGCCCCCCAGTCAAACACAGTATACGGGCTACTGAAGAAGGTGACACGAAGAATACAAGTGGTTTATTAACGTCAACACAAACAAACTGAAACACACACACAAGCACAAACTAACACCACGACAAAAACATTTATAATACTCTATACAAACAAATGGATTAGTTAACAAAATTACCAATATAAATTTAATCTTATATAATACACACTTAACATTCTCACCACAACCAAACACAGACTGACAGACTGCCTTAAAATACTATACTTAAAATCCATATGACTCATCACATGACGATTATAAGTGTGAATATTATTACTTATTGAATCTCTTGAGTATTTTGTGTTGTAATAAAATAATCTGTAATGCCTACTAAGATTATCAACCTAGATAAATAAAATAAATTAATTAAAGACCTTAGCTATTTTACTTCCCTGGGTATTTTTAATTGTTTTAGATTATGTATTAAGAAAGATTATAATTTAATGAGGAAGAATAAAAAATACAGATGTTAGAGAAATATTTGGGGGTGATGAGGAAGACGGAAGAATGACCACTGAGGAATGATTCTGAGAGCGGCGGCGTTCTCACTCACCCACCAGCTAGATTAGGTCACTAAATCCTTCTCTCTTGTTTGTCGCTATCGTATTCGTTCTGAAAAATTTATATAACTGTGGATATATACTTCAAAAACCTAACCTAACCTAACCTAACCCAACCTAACTTTGACTAATATTAACGATGATATTATAAGTTATCTTTGTAATGGTCAAAACATTCCTTAGTACAACTGTGTGAGGTAAATGTTACGTAACTGATAATGTAAGAAATAGATTGATAAATGAATGAAAATATAATATTGTTTTTGATATATAGACATATAAGAGTAAGGTAGCCACTGAAGCTCGGGGTGTGATGTGTCCCGACAGCCGGGGTGATGACGGCGGCTGCGGCCTCACTGCTGTTGGTCCTGACTGTCTGCCTGACTGTCGCCCAGCTGCCTCGCCCTCAGGGTAAGTTATAACCTCTGACTGATTGATGAAGTTAATTAATATTTTATAAGTTAATAAAGGTCTGTAGTTGACAACAGTTGTCTCTACGTGTTGGTTGGTCTTGTCCATAATAGTGTAAACATCTTTCTCATGTCATCATCATCAACACTGTTGTGTTCCTCAGGTGCGGGAGAGACGCTGAGCGTGGCGGGGGCGGCTGTGGCGGCTGTGGCGGCCACAGTGTGGCGGCCTCGCTGCTCCGTCATCCTCCTCACAGACGGCACCACCTCCTCCACCACTGTGTTCACGGTGAGTCAACACTACTGCACCTTCACCTGTGTTCTTATATTACCTGGCCACAGGTAACACTACTGCACCTTCACCTGTGTTCTTATATTACCTGGCCACAGGTAACACTACTGCACCTTCACCTGTGTTCTTATATTACCTGGCCACAGGTAACACTACTGCACCTTCACCTGTGTTCTTATATTACCTGGTCACAGGTAACACTACTTCACTATAACACAGCACTACACACTGGGAGGGTGTCACGGTGTGTCCAGGTGGCAGCAGAAGGCAAAAGTCCAAACATGACGGAGGCGCTGCTGTCCCGGCTGGTGGCCCAGGCTCGACGGGTAGGTCACTCACAGTGCTAGTGAGGCAGGACAGTGAGGTAGGCAGGACAGTGAAGCAGGACAGTGGGGCATGCAGGACAGTGAGGCAGGACACATAACTAACAACAGGTACACATCAACAGGTGAGACAGGTGTCGTGGTGCGTGACGGTGGTGGTGGTGAGCGACGACTCAGCCTTCCTCGCCGCCTCGGCTGAGTGGATCTTCAAGGGCCGCCTCCTGGTGTGGACCAACAGGCTCCTGGCCCTCACCCGCCGGCCTCTCTCTCACCTCCGCCACCTCCACACCTCCTTCTCCATGATGAACGCCATGTTGCTCCTCCTGGACGACACCTCCGGTTACCCCAGGTAATGACCAGCCGCCATGTTGCTCCTCCTGGACGACACCTCCGGTTACCCCAGGTAATGACCAGCCGCCATTTGTTATTACTTCACTCATCAGGAACCAATAATGTGTTTGTTTACCTGCAGGTGTAGTGTGTACGTGCACCTGCCCTACAGCAGCCAGGTGTTACAAGTTGCCTCCTGGGCACCTCACCTGGGCCTCTCCCTTACCACCAACATCCCACTTTTCCCTGAGAAGTTCGACAGGTCAGATATTAACCTAAATTCGATATTTTAAAAGTTCTACCAAGTAGGACGATGTCTCAGCTCTCTACTGTGACTCAACACAACTTTATAATGTTCTAAAATATCCCTTTGGTCCTGGAAATATTTGACATCCGTAAGTATAATAAGACATTGCTGACCCGTGACGTGTACTGCTGCTTCAGGTTCCTACAGAGACCCTTGCTCAAGGTTACGGCTGAGGAGTTTCCGCCTCATGTTGAGGTTAGAGAAACAGCCAACACTTCTGGCCCGAGGTTCAGGTTCTCAGGCGCCATGACTCGGGTGTTGGAGCTCTTGGCCCTCTCTCTCAACTTCACGTAGGTCAAGAAGGAGCTTTAATTTATTTATATTTATAATTAAAGTTACTGTAACCACTAATTTTGTGTATTTTAAAGTGTAAATTAAAATAGATATGTAAATAGCATCTTAAATTGTACATCGTATATAATATTTGTCATTTCTACTAATTTGTTCATATTTGTTCTTACTGACATTATTATTTGATGTACTCGAGAAGTCTAGTAGTGTGGGAGATAGAGGGAGGACTAATTAACACAGGTAATATAATTCTCGCCAGGTACACCATCATACGGCCTCCTGACGGCTCGTTTGGTACTAAGTTGTCCAACGGGACGGCGACGGGTATGGTAGGGATGGTGGGAAGGAAGGTGAGTGTGTGTGTGTGTGTGTGTGTGTGTGTGCGTATGTGTACCTGGTTACTTCAATGTATGTTTTCTTCGTCATTTTTATCTTAAAAGTAATTAATTTATTCTAGACTTGATTTAGATATATATTAAGTAAGGATAATCATTTAGGCGTGTATAGTATTATGCTGAAATAAGTACAACACAGTCACTCAGTTCTCCTTCCTAAGTGAGAAATGTTTGGTACTTCTCAGAATACTTGTGTGTCAACAATACTTCCACAGTTACGTTGTATTTACTGTGTGATGTACAGTTTTCCTTTGCTATCATGGAGGTGTTGTCCCGGCCACTGATGTAGTATTTTCTCGGGTCTAGGAGATCGACCTTGGCCTTGGTCCCTTCGGCATCACAGCAGTCAGGGCCGAGATAGTGGACTACACGGCGCCCATCGTCAACGACTACCTGAGGATCTTGGGAGGGCGTGGCAAGCCGGAGGTGGACCCGTGGGGGTTCCTGCTGCCTCTGGCCCCGGCGGTGTGGGCGGTGATGCTGGCGTCTCTGGTGCTGTTGTTGACGACGGTGTTACTGCTGTCCTTCTGCTTCTCCGTCAGAGTGCCGATGTTGTCCATGTATTTCCGTGTGTTGCTACAGGAGAGTAAGTGAACAGTTAGGTCTTACAGCCGAGGAGTTTCAATACTGTATAGTCTTCAGTGTAAGTTGTTCCAAAAAGTATCTTTATGATTTTGCATGAGACAATATAACACAACAGACGAAGGATTTTGACAACCCTACCGAGACAACAGGAGTCACAGTGTTCATTTGAAATTCATCGTTCACCCTCTGTAGAGATACTTTTTGGGGCGACTACCACGTGTTTTTAAGAGATGAAAAGAAGGTGTTGTGATGTCCTTAGGCCACAACAAAAATAATACAAATTTAACTGAATGTAAAAAATGAGAAACTTTCTAATGAGACGATAACTGGGTGAGTGGTGAGCGGCTGAGTGGTGTAAGAAGACTCGAGGCGTCCTGACAGATACGTGGGTGTCGTCTGATCGGTGGTGGGAGCGGATGGTGTTAGGCGGCTGGATGATAGTGATGCTGGTGCTCACCCTCAGCTACTCTGGCAACCTCATGTCCCTCCTGGCGGTGAGGTACATCCCACAACCCTTCCAGTTCTTGAGGGACCTCCTGGAAGACCCCTCCACCACCATGATCTGGGAATACAACACAGCTTACGTCAACCATTTCCGCGTGAGTAACTTTGAGGAACATTGTTTTGGAGTTTACCTTCGTTTTGGCTTTACCTGTTAATTATCTCTAAGTGTAAATATCTCAAACCTTTACCCATTAACCATCTCTAAATGTAAATATCTCAAACCTTTACCTGTTAATTATCTCTAAATGTAAATATCTCAGACCTTTACCTGTTAATAATTATCTCTAAGTGTAAATATCTCAAATCCTTTTCTGTTTATTTTCAAGACATCAGAATCCGGGATATTCCAAGAGGTACAGAAGGCGGAGGCGGCTGGACGGATCAGCTTCGTTCTGGCGACGGAGTACCCGACCATGCAGGACCAACTGGTGCGTGAGGGGCCCTATGTGTTCGTAGGGGAAGACCTCACTATCAAGGTCCTCATGGGTCAAGACTTCTCCAATACAGGTTCTCTTCGTGTTGGATTTAAAGTGGTTCGTGTAATGTTGAATGAGGGCATTTTAATATATTTTCAATGATAAAATGACTTGGTTCACTTGATTAATCTACACTCTAGCTTATTTAACCTAACACTAACCTAACCCTAACCTAACACTAACCTAACCCTAACCTAACACTAACCTAACACTAACCTAACCCTAACCTAACACTAACCTAACCCTAACCTAACACTAACCTAACACTAACCTAACCCTAACCTAACACTAACCTAACACTAACCTAACCCTAACCTAACCCTAACCTAACACTAACCTAACCTAGCACTAACCTAAGCTAACTAACCTATAACCTAACCCTAACCTAACACTAACCTAACCCTAACCCACTAACCTAACACTAACCTAACCCTAACCTAACACTAACCTAACACTAACCTAACACTAACCTAACACTAACCTAACCCTAACCTAACACTAACCTAACACTAACCTAACCCTAACCTAACACTAACCTAACACTAACCTAACCTAGCACTAACCTAAGCTAACCAGACAAAGTTGAAGAATAATGTCATTTTTCGTCTCCAGGTCAGTGTGACTTTTACACGTCTAGGGAGGCTTTTATGCCCTTCTTGTACTGTATGATCGGCCCTAAGAACAGCCCCCTCGTACCTGCTGTGAGTAAAAGGTGAGACACAGGTTAATTAATGCCATAATCCAAACACGTGATGTAATATTTAATTTTCATTACATATATATTCAGATATACCAACATATATTTCATTATATATATTTGGACTTTTAGATCATAGATACATACATATACACATATTGTATTGATATGTATGTTTGTGCGTGTGTTTATGTATGTATGTATGTATGTATGTATGTATGTATGTTTGTGTAGATCCTAACCTCAAACACTTTACAATAATAATCAAAATAATATTAACTTCAAAACAAACTTAGACCCGACATATTAACGAGTGATAATAAAAAATATACAGTATTCCTAATAAAATAAACATATCCCACGATGTATTGAATAAATAGATATAATAAATGAATTTCTCAATGACAGAATCACCTGGATAACAGAGGCCGGGTTATATGATTACTGGATGGAAAGTCTGAACAGGAACTCGACCGTGTGTGTTCGTCCGCCCACCAAGATCACTGTGAGAACTTCCCTGTCTCTCTCTAACATCTGGGTAAGGTTGTTCTCTCTCTCTCTCTCTCTCTCTCTCTCTCTCGTGTCTGGGAATAGTTGAAAATACAGACAGACAGACACGTTCAGATGTTGTTTGTTTTCCAGGGAATGTTTGTGGTCTTCGCTGGCGGTAACTCGCTGGGGTTGGTGGTGCTGTGCCTGGAGTTGCTCACCGCCAGGCTATAAGAAGCTTCTCCACCACTGTATCTCTGCTGTGTTGATAACTGTTAAATAATAATAATAATAACAATAACAATAATAACAACAACTATTTCCCACATAACTACTATATATTATTTTTTCCATTATTATTCATTTATTCCATGTAAATCATAAATGAAGTTGTAAAACACTTTAAAGCAATAAATAAAATATCTTTGTTTTTAGTTTTAATCACCAACGAGTCTACCAGGATATCTCTAGCTAGCCATTGAGCTTAGTTGGGAGACGGTCACTTTACAGTTTAAACTAACCTCATTAAACTGTGGCAAATATGACTGTTTCTTTCAATGTGTAAAGTAAGTGTGTTGTAAATTATTGATTAGCCTTGATATGAGTTGATATTACAGGTGAGTTAATTAGTTATATCACAGGTATTGTAATCAGATGTGAAATGTATGACGATAGATGAAGCACAACAATATATGGATCACGTATAATATTCAAGCTAGAAAAAAAAATCCATTAAATATCGTACATCATCATGGTGGGATGTATCGTATATCTTGATGTGCTACTTGACTCACGCCTCTACCTGCGCCGCCTCATCACCCACCAATCACTGCAGTCCTTGAATCAACACCGACCAATCACCATTGAGGAGATGTTGTTGGTGGGGTTTTGAGGTTCATAAAAAGGAGTGAGATGGGGGTGAAGGAGGCATTAGTGTGGAGCCTCTGTAACTGTCAACATCAACACCATCATCAAGAGGAGGGGGACCTGCTGTGTCTTCGTCCAGTACTCTCTGTAAGAAACTATTCACGCTTTTTATATTGTTTTGAAAATATTGTAACATGAAATCATTTTTACGTATCTGAGTGTGAAGTGAAGATACGGTGTGTATGTGTGTCTGTCTGTTGGTAACGTTTTGAAGAGCACAGAAACACCATTTATTTAAAGAATCAACTGTATAATTATGGATTATGTTACAACACTACTCAAACTCTGGAGAAATCTTTTTTTTGTAGAATTTATGTTTATCTTTCAGGTGTGTAATAGGTTATACAGGTAATAACCTACGTATTAAGTACATATAGTATACACTGGCTGTATTGTCCATTAAGATATATATATATATACAACAGAACCGAAATCTTACGTATATTTGGTGTATAATTGGTGTATATTTATATTGACTTAACTCCTATCAAGTCCTGGGAAGATGGTTACGTTTATCACAACAAAACACAAGATGAAGTTGGTCCAATCAGGTGTTGTTGTCGTCCTGTATCTGTTACCTGTTACCTGTCAGCGTTAATGACCCCCGTCGATGCTATTCACCTGTGAGGATAAAACTTGTTATATATTTCTATCTCCTCACAGCACCAGGGTAATGAGGCAACACCCATTCAGGCCCACGGGGGTAGATGAACGCGCCAGGTTCGTCCGTATGTGGGTAGACGGTTTACCTGTCCGTACGATCGCTCAAAAGACAGGAACGAGTGTCACGACCGTCTACAGGTGGATTAGACGGTGGCAACGAGAGGGTAACTTGAAGAATAAAGCTCGTAGTGGAAGACCTCGGCTATCGTTACTAGAGATGGACTCAATCCCGTATGACTTCCTCTCACATCAGTCTTACTTCCCGCCGAAAACAACAACAGACCCTCGACGCTACCAAGATGGCTCCACCTACTCGTGCCTTCCTCTGTACATAGATCCCCTGAATCCTTTTAAAACTAACCCCAACTTGAGATTGACACTCGGACAGTCATCGACAAGTCCATCGTGGAGAGATTACGTGGTAGGGAGTGAAGGGAATCAGCGGCCGAATGAGGAGACTTGGAGTACAGGGGTGGTGATGCAGTGGCCTCCTAATCAGACACAGTACATGGGCTACTGACGAAGGTGACACGAAGAATCTAACTTTCTCCGGAAGATTAACACACAGACACACACACTCACACATACATACATTACACACAGTCACACACAAACAAACGCCATGACCAGTACATGAACAAAATCAACAAAAACACAAGCAACAAGCACAAACTCTCACCACAATAAACAATTAAGATTCATCCATTGTAACGTAGTCAACCTGAAGAAGAACTTACAGTGAGTCCCTTCATCTCACGACACCTTCATCAGTTGGTCAATATCAACACGACACACATACGGACGGACACTCTTAACTCCCTCTACATAAAAAAATATATACAACATAAACGTTACAAAAATTAATGTCATCACGAAAAATTAATCCCATTGTGTTAAAATTATACTTATTGACTAATTTCGAATGGTTTGTGTGTTTAAATGTTTATGTATTGTTACTCAAAAGTGTTTAGCATTAATAAAAGATGTTTATAATGTTTCTGATGTGTTTTATTTAACTTTCCAATATGTACTTTATGTTATTGTTGATGTATATGGTAATGAGGTGAACTGTTGTCTTAATTTGCGTTAAGTGATGTAGTACGGACCTATTATTATTATTATTGTTGTTGTTGTTGTTATTATTATTATTATTATTATTGTTATCATTATTATTAAAACCAAATAACACACAAGGAAAATGTAATAATCAAAGTATAAGAAATAGAAAATATAAATAATAAAAAAACGAAAGAGGTTAAGACTCAATTGAAACATCGTAAACCTAACCTAACCGAACCGAACCAGGGTACGATGCGAGTTCTATGTCCACTCAGCCACCACCGCATCCAATTGTTATGAGTGGAAGTTGATTTGTAAGTAATAGTATAAGTGAAGAAGTTGTTGGTGGACTTTAAATATAGTGATTGACTTCACGTGGTATATTAAAGGATCAGTGACGTCATGCAGTACAGTAAAGGATCAGTGACGTCATGCAGTATAGTAAAGGATCAGTGACGTCATGCAGTATAGTAAAGGATCAGTGACGTCATGCAGTACAGTAAAGGATCAGTGACGTCATGCAGTATAGTAAAGGATCAGTGACGTCATGCAGTACAGTAAAGGATCAGTGACGTCATGCAGAACAGTAAAGGATCAGTGACGTCATGCAGAATAGTAAGGATCAGTGACGTCATGCAGAATAGTAAAGGATCAGTGACGTCATGCAGTATAGTAAAGGATCAGTGACGTCATGCAGAATAGTAAACGATCAGTGACGTCATGCAGTATAGTAAAGGATCAGTGACGTCATGCAGAATAGTAAAGGATCAGTGACGTCATGCGTATAGGGATCAGTGACGTCATGCAGAATAATACGTCATGCAGAATAGTAAAGGATCAGTGACGTCATGCAGTATAAAAGGATCAGTGACGTCATGCAGTACAGAAAGGATCAGTGACGTCATGCAGTACAGTAAAGGATCAGTGACGTCATGCAGTATAGTAAAGGATCAGTGACGTCATGCAGTACAGTAAAGGATCAGTGACGTCATGCAGAACAGTAAAGGATCAGTGACGTCATGCAGTAAAGGAGCCACAACATTACGTCCAAGAGGCAGCAGGCCAGTCGTTCGTTATCTACTGATAATAACAGATTATATATTAACATATATTTCGCAGCGACGCTCTTAAGAGAGTTTAACATGTGATGTGTCCCGACAGCCGGGGTGATGACGGCTGGTGCGGCCTCACTGCTGTTGGTCCTGACTGTCTCCCTGACTGTCGCCCAGCTGCCTCGCCCTCAGGGTAAGTTATAACCTCTGACTGATTGATGAAGTTAATTAATATTTTATAAGTTAATAAAGGTCTGTAGTTGACAACAGTTGTCTCTACGTGTTGGTTGGTCTTGTCCATAATAGTGTAAACATCTTTCTCATGTCATCATCATCAACACTGTTGAGTTCCTCAGGTGCGGGAGAGACGCTGAGCGTGGCGGGGGCGGCTGTGGCGGCCACAGTGTGGCGGCCTCGCTGCTCCGTCATCCTCCTCACAGACGGCACCACCTCCTCCACCACTGTGTTCACGGTGAGTCAACACTACTGCACCTTCACCTGTGTTCTTATATTACCTGGCCACAGGTAACACTACTGCACCTTCACCTGTGTTCTTATATTACCTGGCCACAGGTAACACTACTGCACCTTCACCTGTGTTCTTATATTACCTGGCCACAGGTAACACTACGGCACCTTCACCTGTGTTCTTATATTACCTGGCCACAGGTAACACTACTTCACTATAATACTGAGCTTCAGTTGGTGTTATTTTGTCACTTCAGGAGCTGGGAGGGCTGGGAGCCCCCTGGGGGGTGACGGTGTTCCAGGTGGCAGCAGAAGGCAAAAGTCCAAACATGACGGAGGCGCTGCTGTCCCGGCTGGTGGCCCAGGCTCGACGGGTAGGTCAATCACAGTACTAATGAGGCAGGGCAGTGAGGCAGGACAGTGGGGCATGCAGGACAGTGAGGCAGGACAGTGGGGCAGGCAGGACAGTGAGGCAGGACAGTGAGGCAGGACACATAACTAACAACAGGTACACATCAACAGGTGAGACAGGTGTCGTGGTGCGTGACGGTGGTGGTGGTGAGCGACGACTCAGCCTTCCTCGCCGCCTCGGCTGAGTGGATCTTCAAGGGCCGCCTCCTGGTGTGGACCAACAGGCTCCTGGCCGTCACCCGCCGGCCTCTCTCTCACCTCCGCCACCTCCACACCTCCTTCTCCATGATGAACGCCATGTTGCTCCTCCTGGACGACACCTCCGATTACCCCAGGTAATGACCAGCCGCCATGTTGCTCCTCCTGGACGACACCTCCGGTTACCCCAGGTAATGACCAGCCGCCATGTTGCTCCTCCTGGACGACACCTCCGGTTACCCCAGGTAATGACCAGCCGCCATTTGTTATTATTTCACTCATCCGGAACCAATAATGTGTTTGTTTACCTACAGGTGTAGTGTGTACGTACACCTGCCCTACAGCAGCCAGGTGTTACAAGTTGCCTCCTGGGCACCTCACCTGGGCCTCTCCCTCACCACCAACATCCCACTTTTCCCTGAGAAGTTCGACAGGTGAGTAACTTACAGGAATTCGTGTCTGGAGAGGTGACCTATGTGACCCTATTTAAAAAAAATCATGTAATAACGAAATATCTAAAATAACAACAACCAATCAAAA